TCTAAACTTCATTCTTTATAACTAGAATTTCTCCAGTGACAAGACCTCGATGGTTTTTATTTTTTATTTTAGTTCAAGTACCTGAAGATTTCTTCTAAAGAGAACGGCAACATCAAGAAGGGCGTCATATTTGCTACATACTCGTCATTGATTGGGGAAAGTCAATCTAATAGCAACAATAAATACAGAACACGACTAAAACAACTTTTACAATGGTGTGGAGAAGACTTCGATGGATGTGTATCCTTTCATGAAACGTCCTATTATTGGACTCTGACTGTGATGATGTTGACTGTATTGAAATGTCCTATTATTGGATTCTGACTGTGATGATGAAATGTCCTATTATTGGATTCTGACTGTGATGATGAAATGTCCTATTATTGGATTCTGACTGTGATGATGTTGACTGTATTGAAATGTATCACTGTTTGGTCAGTGCATTTCTTTCAGAAATTACTTTGTCAGTTTCCAATTTTATAAACAATCAATACTGTTGCTTGCATTTAATATACTGTAAAACCCTTTTATTTTCACCTACATTTAATTTCACTATTTTGATGTTTTGAGCGTATTCACTGTGTTTTGATTTCATGAATTTATCACAGAAACAGCAAGTTTTATTGTTATTTTACATCAGTGAAAATAGAAAAATTAAAACCAGTGAATAATTTATGCATTTACAGTATCATAGCCTAGAATCTGAATCTAGAATTTTCTCCATCAGTAAGAAATGATACTGGAATGGAAATCTTTCTCAGATTTTTCCAATTTCACTGCGAAACTTCTCACTTAGAAAATAAGGTTTGGTCATGAGCTGTGTTTTTCCTGTTGTAAATTTTGTATTTTGCATTGGTTTTTGTTGTGGCTCGTAGATGTGATGTTTGAAAACCTGTTTTTATGGCTATTTGGATTACTAGTCCACTATAAAATAAGCTGTTACTGTCGAACTTCTGAAGGCCTCAGAAAACATAATCATGTGTATTTCTGTCATACTTTTAAAAAGTCTTTACAGTTCTATTGATATTCTTCTTTGACTCACTGTATCAGATTGTTCTTGATGAATGTCACAAAGCAAAAAACTTGTGCCCATCGGGTTCATCCAAACCAACTAAAACAGGTCTTACAGTGTTAGAACTACAAAGGAAACTACCCAAAGCCAGGGTAGTGTATTGCAGTGCAACAGGAGCAACAGAACCACGTAATATGGCGTACATGACTAGGCTGGGTATTTGGGGTAAAGGAACTCCATTCAAAGAATTTACAGACTTTATACCAGCTGTAGAAAGAAGGTTGGTAATGTTTTATACTTAACCCTTTTCACCACCAGACTTTCTCGCCCAAATTATTGTATTCTTTACAGCGAGCGCAAGATATTTACATACACCTAACTCGCGCACCCGCTAGGTAATTACCGAGGGACTTTGCAACATCCCCAGACACTTTGCTAGACGCCCCAACGACCGTTGTAGACGCAATAAAGTTACATACACTCTCACGTGACAGTTAATCAAAACACCGGACGCAGTATGCCTTTGATGTGTGGGCACGAGGAACAGGGGTAGTTGGAATATTCCATTGCTTTATAGGTATAACAATCATTGCTGTGTAACACTTGGAAGAAATATAAAACGAACTTAAAACTGGAAATGAATATTAACAAGAAACGTTAAAAGTAAATTCCTTCGATTGTTAGTTTGTTGAGATGTTGTCAATGTGTTTATACACAATCCTATTAAAAATGTCGCGTTTGCGCATAATGGCATGTCCCATTGCCAGTTTGCCATACAGCGCCCAGTCAGTCTTTCCCAGGAATCTTCTACTTATATAGTTTTACATACTAGTACTAGTATATGCCGTCATCATCACAGTCACTTGGGGGCTGAAAATCAATAAATACTAATTTTCAAAAAAAAATCATCCGCTATGGGACAGGGTCAGTTTACTGACACAGGGCAGATGCAAAGCACCCTACAAATCACCGGTACTGGTACGGGACAGAGTCAAAACGGGGGACGGTCGATTCGTCCCAAATCACATTCGTCCCACAAGTTGATTCGTCCCAAGTCGATTATTACCGGTATGGGACAAATTGACTCCCTAGTATATCACCGTGACGCCAAAATGAAAACATCCATAGCAAATCACCCTGATGTAACTTCGCGAGGCGTGGGACTACCCACTGGGACAGGGACGATCGAGCAGGCAAACATCGGGACATTCAACGCCGCAAACAATTTGCATGCACTTTTGGAGGCGGCCGCAATAGCTGGTCAACAAAATCAGTCAACAAACAACAAACAGTAAATTCGAAAATCAGATTTATATTTTGAGTTAGTCAGTATATGCTTTATTTGTTTCTCGTTGGTTTTTGTCGTTTTAGCGCCTACCATATTGACTGAACTAAACTACATCATATGTAATGTTACCGTCATTATGCTATACTCTTGGTGAAAATAAAAAAACTTGTTCATAATACACTTTATTGTACTATGTGTGACGGATAACCACTAATATGTGTATTTTTATGGCGGAGATTCCATGTTTTTCATGGTTCTCGATGGCTTCGCTTCAGTGCTAAAGTTTAACGCAAGCCATATTTATATGACGTGTATTTCAGGATCGAAATACTACCAACTAGACGTTGCATGTGAACCGAACAAAAACTAATTCATGACATGTAAATAATTTGTTTTGTCATTTATTCAGGATTTAATAATATTTTGAGCGCGCCCAAGCAACTCTCTAAATTTCAATAACATTTCACATTTTGTTGACCAGGCAGATGAAGTGTCGCTGCTTCTTTTTCAACTCGGTCAGGTCACGGTGCTGTTGTTGGCGTTAAAGATATTACTTATCTGAATGAGCATACTTTCATGGCCACTAAAAT